TCATTGGGCGGAAGGCAGGATACACCATGGACAGGTCGCCAGTCCATCGCAGGGCAGATCTAGAACAGAACTGAGTAAAAAGTGCATTCTTTACCTTACAAATTTACTCGAATAGAAGTTAAAGCATTAGCATTCAAAACTGTACATGAGTACATGGAACTGAGCAAATATAACTAGTAACTGGGGAGAATATTCTAGAACAATGTGAGAGATAAAGAACATTCTAGAACAGTGTGAAAGATGAACAGCACTCTAGAAGGGCTTCAATAGGGAGAATATTGTAGAAGAGTGTGAATGGGGGAAGAACATTCTAGAACAGTTTGAAAGATGAAGAGCACTCTAGAAGAGTTTCAATGGGGAGAACAGTGTGACTGGAGAGAACATACTAGAACAGTGTGAATGAGGACCAACAGTCTAGAACATTATGAATGACAGCAAATGTTCTAGAACAGTGCACGAAGAAAAACATTCCAGAACTGTGTGAAAGAAGACCAACATTTTAGACCAGTATGAATGGCAATGAATGTTCTAGAACAGTGTAAATGAGGAAGAACATTCTAGAACTGTGTGAAAGATAAAGAGCCTTCTAGAAGAGTTTGAATGGGGAGAATATTCTAGAACAGTGTGCATGGGGAGAACATTCTAGAACAGCGTGAATGAGGACCAGTATCCTAGAACAGTATGAATGACAGTGAATGTTCTAGAACGAGGAAGAACATTCTTTAGCATTTTATTTTAGACCAAAAGTTAGAACTGTGTGAATGAGGACCAATATTCTAGAACAGTCTGAATGACAACGAATGTTCTAGAACAGTGTGAAAAAGGAAAAACATTCTAGAACTGCGTGAAAGATGACCAACATTCTAGAACAGTCTGAATGACAATGAGTGTTCTAGAACAGAGTGAACAAAGAACAACATTCTTCCTGTATTAGCGATGAAGAGCCTTCTAGAAGAGTTTGAATGAGGAGAACATTCTAGAACAGTGTGAATGAGGAGAACATTCTAGAACAGCGTGAATGAGGACCAGTATCCTAGAACAGTATGAATGACAGTGAATGTTCTAGAACGAGGAAGAACATTCTTTAGCATTTTATTTTAGACCAAAAGTTAGAACTGTGTGAATGAGGACCAATATTCTAGAACAGTCTGAATGACAATGAATGTTCTAGAACAGTGTGAAAAAGGAAAAACATTCTAGAACTGCGTGAAAGATGACCAACATTCTAGAACAGTCTGAATGACAATGAGTGTTCTAGAACAGAGTGAACAAAGAACAACATTCTTCCTGTATTAGCGATGAAGAGCCTTCTAGAAGAGTTTGAATGAGGAGAACATTCTAGAACAGTGTGAATGAGGAGAACATTCTAGAACAGCGTGAAAGACGAAGAGCCTTCTATTAGAGTTTGAAGCGGGAGAATATTCTGGAACAGTGTGAAATGGGGAGAACACTCTAGAACGGTGGGATTGAGGACCAACATTTTAGAACAGTATGACTGACAACAGCTACTAGCTAGGTGAGATTGTTGTCTGTGTTGCTATGGTGACCAGCAGTCTGCGCTGATCTTCAGGGTTAAAGGGTGAATTAGCAGTTCTACATTAACTCCAGAGTTTAAGACCATTTATTGTTAAACTGTGTTGAACGATCAGCAAAGCTTTATTTTACTGTAAAGGAGGATTATTTTATTTTTACCTACAAATCTGATTCTGCTGTGGAGCCACAACAGGGCAGTAAAAGAGCCGCATGCTGCTGACCCCTGGACTAGATATAGTCCGTCAGCCAAGACAGATGTGGAGTCCAAATTTTGCTTCTATAGTTTAGAACTGAAGCTACGAGGCTAATGTAAGCCTGCTAACAGTAGAACTCAGTAGTCACCCAAATTGCCTGAATCGTTTCTATAACAATGCATCTCCAACACTTCAGTCAACGCACTCACAATGTGTCCAGGCCTTCATTACGGTCACACAGACCTTTTCAGCTCCTGATAGATGCTGGATGTACTGCAGTTCTGTAAGTCACTCAGTTCTTCAGTATGAACGGTTTAAGTTAAAGTAGCTGCTGTTTATCAGGAACTGATTGTGTTCAGTGAATCCTTCAGTGCTCACAACTGAGAGAAGTGTGTGTGTGTGTGTGTGTGTGTGTGTGTGTGTGTGTGTGTGTGTGTGTGTGTGACCTTCAAGAAAGCTGACTCATTACTACGACAGCACCCCGGTCTGCTGTCTCCCTAGTTGTCATGACGGCCAGCAGAGAGAGAAAGAAGAGTTGGGGAGAGAGGGAGAGAGAAAAGAATGACAGAAAAAAATGTGGGGGGACAGAGAGTGAGGAACAACAGTGAGAGGGACAGAAAGAAAGGATGAGAGAGAAACAGAAAAAATAATGATGGAGAGAATGTGTGTGAGAGAGAATGAAAGAGAGAGAAAAGAGTGGAAGAGACAGGGAGAAAGAGAGAAGAGGGGAAAAAGTGCAAGAGAGAAAAGAGTAAAGGAGAGAGAGAAAGAGAAAAAAGAGTGATAGAGAGAAAGAGAAAGAGAAAAAAGGAGTGATAGAGAGAGAGAGAAATGAGAGAGAGAGAAACAGAAAAAAGAGTGATAGAGAGAAATGAGAGAGAAACAGAAAAAAGAGTGACAGAGAGAGAGAGAGAAACAGAAAAAAGAGTGATAGAGAGAGAGAGAAATGAGAGAGAAACAGAAAAAAGAGTGATAGAGAGAGAGAGAAACAGAAAAAAGAGTGATGGCTGCCCAGAGAGGAGAGGCTGTGTGGTCACTGTTGAGACAGAGATGCACAGAAATTTAGACTGACAATTTTAGAAAGCTGATTTCATTTCATTTTGGAAGGGGGCTAAGCCCCGCCACACACACACACTGCTAAACATATAACTATACATCACCGCCTGAGAGACAGTATACTACCCCCTACCCCCACCCTACTGAGCCCCACAGTCCAGACCCCCAATACTACATATTTCTATTTAAAAATTACAAATATGTTAGTTTACTCATTTGTATAATTATAGTTGTTTATATAGTTTTATATAGTCCAGTAACTTTGTTATCATTGTCACTGTGTGTTTATGTTGTTATTGCTATCATTGTTATAATGCTTTGATGATACTGTAGCTTAAACAGCCATGCCAATAAAGATACACTGAACTTGAACAGAGTAAGAGAGAGAGAGAGAGAGAGAAGTGATGGAAAGAAAACAAGAGAGAAAGAAAGAAAAAACAGTTGAGGACAGAGGGAAAGAGAAAAGAATGACAGACAAATATGGGGGGACAGAGTGAGGAACAACAAAGAGTGATGGAGAAAATGTGTGTGAAAGAGAATGAAAGAAAGAGAAAATGGTGGGAAAGACCGGAAGAAAGAAAAGACATAAAAAAGAGAGCTAGAGATAGAGAAAGGAGTGAATGAGAGAGAGAGAGTGAAAGAAAAAGAGAGAAAGGAATGAAAGAAATGGAGAAAGAGAGAAAAAATGCAAGAGACAGAGAAAATAGTGAGGGAGAGAAAATGAGTGCAAAGATAGAGAGAGAAACAAAAAATGAGTGATGAAAAGAAACTAAGAACGAAAGAGAGAGAAAGAAGAATTGGGGAGAGAGGGAGAGAGAAGAGAATGACAGAGACAAATGTGGGGGACAGAGAGTGAGGAACAATGGTGAGGGAGAGAGAGGAGTACAAGAGAGAGGGAGAGAAAGAAAAGAGGAGGAAGAAAGAAAAAAGAGTGATGGAGAGAAAAGGGTGGGAGAGACCAGAAAAAAGATAGAGAAGACAGAAAAAAGAGATCCAGAGACAGAGAAAAGAGTGAAGGAACGAGAGGGGGAAAGAAAGGGAGAGAAAGGAGAGGAAAATGTAGAAAGAGACAAAGAGAAAAAGAGTGCAAGAGAGAAACTAGGAAGAGAACATGAGTGGTGCAGAGAGAGAGAGAGAGAGAGAGAGAGAGAGAGAGAGAGAGAAACAGAAAAAAGGGAAAAAGAGTGATGGAAAGAAAGAGAAAAAGAGTCAGGAAGAGAGGGAGAGAGAAAAGAAAGATAAATGTGGGGGACAGAGAGTGAGTAAGGGAGAGAGAGAGAAGTGCAAGAGAGAAAAGAGAGAGGGGGAGAGAGAGAGAAAGAAAGAAAAAAGTGATGGAGAGAATGTAGTAGAGAGAGAAAAAAGAAAAAGAAAAGGGTGGGAGAGACTGGGAGAATGAGAGAAAAGAGAAAGAAGAGAGCTAGAGAGAAAAGAGTGAAGGAGAGAGAGAGTGAAAGAAAGTGAGAGAAAGGAGATGGAAAAACGGAGAAAGAGAAAAAATGCAAGAGACAGAGAAAACAATAAGGGAGAGGCAAAGAGTGCAAAGATAGAGAGAGAAACAGAAAAAGTGATAGAGAGAGAGAACGAAGAATTGGGGAGAGAGGGAGATAGAAGAAAATGACAGAGACAAATGTGGGGGACAGAGAGGAACAACAGTGAGAGAGAGAGAGAGAGAGAGAGAGAGAGAGAGAGAGAGAGAGAGAGGAGTGCAAGAGATAGAGAAAAGAGAGGGGGAGAGGGAGAGAAGGAAAAAAGAGTGATGAAGAGAATGTGTGAGAGAGAGAATGAAAGAAAAAGAAAAAAGGGTAGGAGACAGAGAAAAGAGTAAAGGAGAGAGAGTGAAAGAGAAGGAGGAAAAGAGAGAGGGAGAGCTGGAGGTCAGTTGGGTTTCCCTGCTTTCTCCTCCATAGAAACACAGACATTTTCTCCTTTTGACTGTCAGTCATTGTGTAGATAACGAGTCTATTAACAGGCACCTTTTCAGGTCCTCTTTTGTTTTCTTTCCTTTGTCTCTCTCTCTCTCTCTCTCTCTCTCTCTCTCTCTCTCTCTGTGTCTCTGTCTCTCTCTCTTTCTCTCTCTCTCTCTTTCTTTCTCTCTTTTCTCAGAACTCCTTTTACAGGCTTCTGAGAAATTATAGAAAATGATATGAAAATTACAGAACAATTATTGGGTCCTTTAATCAGTCCGGCTGTGTTTGGCTGTGTTTGTGTTATCAGGCCGGAGCGGCAGCACAGACGCAGTTAACGGGTGAAAACGCTCTGGCGGTAATGAGCATTGCTGCTGGTGTGTCATTACTGTGAGGACGCCGCACTCATTCGTCAGGTATTCACCTCAGAAACGGTTTACAAAGTCTCGAAACCAGCCTCACAGCCACCGTAACGTCTGCTTCGTGTGTCTCGTAAACAGAACGGGCCCAGATGACGTGCGGTCGTGTTCCTTTCCAAAGCACTTGGGATCAAACCGAAAATGGAGCGCCCCGAGATCTCTGTGCTTTTAACTCTGGCAGCCGGACACGCTGCGTCTTTTCCTTTGTTTCGGCCTCCACGACTGATTCTGATTCAGTGACTCATCACTCCAGCCATTATTTTTCTCCAGCGAATGCTCACATGACGCACTTTTCTCCATCTGGAGAGAACCAGGCCATCCTTGGAAAACATGAGCTCTAGCAGAAGACAGAGGAAACTCTCCGAACGGTAGAAAAACTAACCCATTTCTGGAATGATCAACGACCCCAATTAACTGAGGCCACTGAAGACACTCTGTAGTCACTCTAATTGCACTGATTTATTTTTATATAGGCTCAAAAAAACTCAATCGTTCATGTCCAATTTAGCTGTTTCTCTACAGACTATCCAATTAGGAGAAAAGAACAGGACAAGACAGTATATATCTGCCTGCCACAGTATGACAACAATCACCACACGCTTGATTTATATGCGTTATTTATTGCCCTGTTTGTAAATATATACTATATGGACAAAAGTATTGGGACGCCTGCAGGAGCTTTTATGAATCCCATTCTAAATCCATAGGCATTAATATGGAGTTAGTCCCCCTTTGCAGCTGTAACAGCTTCCACTCTTCTGGGAAGCTTCCTACAAGATGTTGGAGAGTGTCTGTGGGAATTTCTGCCCATTTATCCAGAAGAGCATCTGTGAGGTCAGACACTGATGTTGGACGAGAGGGTCTGGCTCACAATCTCCGTTCTAGTTCATCCCAAAGGTGTGGGATGGGGTTGAGGTCAGGGCTCTGTGAGGGCCAGTCAAGTTCTTCCACACCAGGCTCACCCAGCCATGACTTTACGGAGCTGCTTACGATTTCCCTTCACTGGAACTAAGGGTTCTAGACCAACCCCTGAAAAACAATCCCATATTATTATCCCTCCTCCACCAAACTTTACAGCTGGCACAATGCAGTCAGGCAGGTAACGTTCTCCTGGCGTTCACCAAACCCAGACTCGTCCACCAGACTGACAGACAGAGAAGCTGATTCATCACCCCACAAGAATACGTTTCCTTCTCCAGAGTCCAGTGGCGGCGTTTACACCACTCCAGTCAACGCTTGGCATTGTGCATTTTGATCTCAGGCTTGTGTGCAGCTGCTCAGCCATGGAAACCCATTTCGTGAAGCTCCTAATGCACAGTTCTTTTGCTGATGTTGCTTCCAGAGGCAATTTGGGACTCTTTAGTAGGTGATTCAACATAAGATAGACACTGTGTGCTTCAGCTGTCGGCAGCCCCACTCTGTGGGTTTGTGTGGCCTACTGCTTCATGGCTAAGCTGTTGTTGCTCCTAGATGCTTCCATTTGACAATAATAGCACTTACAGTTGTCTGGGGCAGATCTAGCAGGATTTCACAAGCTGACTTGTGGCAGAGGTGCCATCCTTTAACAGTGCCATGTTTAAAGTCACTGATATGGACCGTTGATAATAAGCTAAATGTATACAAAATCATTATTTATAGGGCACTTTCTATCGTCTCTCCCAAACCCTAAACCTTAAATACTTACTTTTTTGTATTTTTTTTCAGTGGTTTTTTTTTAATTTTTTAGTTGAAGTTGAAAGATTTAGATTTATGAGTTTAATTTTTTAAAATAAAAACTTTATTTAAAAAAATAAGGCTGTCCCTCATTTGGTTACTACCAAAACACAAAAGGGTCATTTTAGTTCTATTTATAACTTAGCCTCACCCACTTTGACTCACCACTCGGATGTGTGTCACACCTGTGTTACGCAAGCGTCCACTCATGGCAGAAGGGGAGGAGGGGATTATTTAAACGGAACGCACTGGCGCTCGGCAGGTTAGCCTCAGTGATCTAATTGGCTAGTCACGCGAACTTTGCAATGCAAAGTGTTTTTTAAGACATTTGACCATAACATACATGTTCTGGCCGCCATATTTGGGACCAGATTTCTGGCTTCGCTACTCCGCATGAACGTAACTAGAGGTGAAAGATGGCTAAAATTACTCTCCTTACACTGGAAGAGAAAACGTTTCCTTGACAAAGTCGGTAAAATAGACTGTGATCCTTGTGATCCCCCTGAAATCCTGGTCCCACTTAAACTGGCGGAAACCTACCGAATTTGAGTTTTCCTGACATTTATTTTCTATGGACATATATTATCTCATGCTCAACCCGTCTCCCTATTTTGGTGAGTCTCTCAGGGATTTAAAAGCACAGAAGCCCACCAGCTCTTCATGTCAGGGTGGGTAAAGGATCCCATGGTGTTGCATAAAGAGGAGAAAACTCCGTCATCATAGGAGGGTAACGACATCAGCTAATTAACACAGATGTGATCAATGCTGGCCTTTAGGTAGCTTTCACTAATGTTTACGGCCGAGAGATAAACAGTCGCCCCCTAACGGAGCTGCAGACAGCCGGTATAACTTTACTCTCTGTTTCTGGAGATTTAAATGAGGTTTGAATGGAGAAACATAAACCTTAAATATCAGACTGAATGTCGTGGGTCGGAAAACGACGTCGTGTTTCGACAGACGTGATTCTGTAAGTTAGTGCAGTTAGTTCAGAGTTCAGCTCCAGTCCTGAAACCCCTGCACTGCATAACTGTGGTTTCCCTGGTTAAAATACCTGATATTATCAGCTAATTAATCCCTTCTTGAGCTGAACGAGGTGTGAACAGCAGAGAAACACTAAACTATACAGTGCAGCGGCTCCAAACCTGGAGTGAAAACACTGAATTAAAGGTCTGTGTGTCTCTTGTCTCTCAGCTTCTGTCGCGTCTTGCAGGTTGATCATTCACACAGCACAGCAGATTAGAGGCATCGCGACAGCACAGTCACTCCCTGATTCAGTCCTCAAAATAGTGGCGACTATACAGTGTGACGTGACACGAAACGCGAGAATAACTGATGGAGTACTTTATAACCTAAACTCCAGCAAATCGAATGTTATGGTTTTGAAATGTTAAGCTTTTTGAAGTAGTTTCTTGCTGTAGCTTATAAGTAGCATTTTCCACCATTATTTTTGGGATTTGAAAAGGAAAATGCGTCAGTTCGCAATGATTTTTGGGTAAGTTCTGCTGCTAAAGTCCACACTGGTGTTCGCTCGATCCCTCACCCCTCTGAGAGCTCATCTAACACCCTTTAATTGAGCAGCCGTTAAGATGGCACTGGGAATTCCCACTGGGAGGAAATAATGAGTCCGAGTGGACGAGGGCTCGTTAAAACAGGTACTGAAACACAGGAAAAGAGTTTTAGTCCACAGTGTTATTTTAGCCACAGCCTAAGGCTGCATCCCTGTCCCTCATGGCCACATGGTGAGCAGTTAGATCCCATTATATTGTTTTGAATTAAGTTTGCCCCAAAGTTTGGAAATCAGTGTGGAATATTAAGAATAGTCACTACCGAAACACAGATTTTCTGCAGTTAGGTACTTGTGCTTTAACCCCTTAAAAGGCCAGGTTTTATCACACACTTCTATAACCTAAGAATAGCTCAACCAGTTTGCATTGGGTCTCTGTAGTTACTGACCAGTAAACCTTAGTATGTAATAAGCCTGGAATTTTAAGGGATTAAAGAAAAATATGATCATTTTATGTGTGAACAACTGTTCAAAGCTGTGTTTGCTGGCCATGTACTGGCTTTGTTTTTGAGTTCTGCTTAAAATGAGCTAAAATTGTCACTTTAAACAGTCACTACTGAAACATTTGGTAAAGTTTGGTAGTGTTATGCTTGTTTTGGTGACAAAATTGAATGTTCAATCATTAGTTTTAATAAAATAAACATAATTAAGGTATAATAAAGCAAAAGGATTTTAGTCTAAAGTCCAAGTTAGTTGAAAGTCTGAAATGTGTTTTCAGCTCTTTCTATAAACTCTCAGTGCTCACAGTGTTTTTAAATCTTTCTGTAACTGAAATGTGTCTTTTACATCCCTGCATTTTATTTCTTGCTACTTTATTGATGCTTTGGCAATATTATATCTAAATATGGTCATAGTAATAAATCTGAACTGAGTGAACTGCGGAGAGGTTTGGAGAGAGAGAAATGGAAAAAGGAAAGCAGGAAGGATGAAAGGAGAGGAGGAGAGCAGGGTTGAGATGAAATCTCGGCAAAGGGATTATATGGAGCTGGGAGCGAATGGGGAGGGGAGGCAGCAGATTAACGGGATAAGAGCGAGGGGAGGGGAGGGATTACAGCCATGAGAGGTGAAGTCTAAAATAATCCTCTCAGGCAAAAAAAAAAACCTTGCACTTTATCCACTGCAGGGAGAGCAGGAGAGAGGTAAATGTATTCCTTCATCAGCCTTTTCAACCAAAATTCTCAACACCTTCAATATTCCAAATACTCCCAGTGCTCCCAATACTTACAGTATTCTCAGTATTCCCAACTTTTCCATTGTGCTCAATACTTCCAACACTGCCCACATACGGCCAATACTACCAAATATTTCCAAAATTCCCAACAGTTCAGCACTTCATGTACTGCCAACAATCCCAATACTGCCAATACTACCAAATATTTCCAAAATTCCCAACACTTCAGCACTCCATGTACTCCCAACACTACCAATACTGCCAATACTACCAAATATTTCCAAAATTCCCAACACTTCAGCACTCACTGAACTCCGAACACTCCCAATACTGCCAATACTACCAAATATTTCCAAAATTCCCAACTCTTCAGCACTCACTGTACTCCCAACACTCCCAATACTGCCAATACTACCAAACATTTCCAAAATTCCAACCCTCCAGCACTGCCTGTATTCCCAGCACTTCCAATACTCCAACCCTATCAAACACTCACAACATACCCAGCACTTGCACCACTCCCAACATACAATACTTTCCAGTACTCCCAATATGCCAACAATACTATCACTCTCAACACTCCCAATATTCCCAGCATTGCCAGTGATCCCAATACTCCCCACACTCCCAGTATATCAGCACTCTCAAAGCTCCCAACACTCCCTATACTCTGAATACTCTCAACACTCCCAATACTTCCAAATATTTCCAACAATACCAACACTCCTATCATTCTTAAAACTCCAAACAATCCTAATGCTTCCAACACTCGCAATGCTTTCAACACTCCCAGACATTCCAACACTCCCAACATTCCCAACATTCCCAATATTACCCACACCCCAACACTCCTAACAGTCCCAATAATCCCAACATTCCCAATATGCCCATTGGGACGCTGTGCAGAATGTAAATAAAA